AACAGATGCTCCACCTGTCAATTTAGACTTACATTTTGGTGAATTCTATTTTGTAATAACCAAGTCTCACTCTAATTTACTTCAATACTGGATAACGACAGATGTACTCCATCCCTTCAGGGACAAAGTCAGATTATCATAGAAAATGGCTGCCAGAAAACCGTAAAATGGGATGCATAGTCTTTTAATGTCTTGCCATTGTTGCACTGCACTTATCTTTTTATAATATCTGTTGTTTTTCTATCAAGCAGTTTTCACATTATTCAACCTCGTATTTCATTCTACCCTTTTTCCTCAATCCTATAATGGAACAAGCTGTATTTATTTTCTCGCCTGTTAAAGGGTTATAGTCGAAAGTTAACCTTTTGTCTTTAAAGATATGGATTGTCATGCATTTCCAGCAATTTTTGGTTTAGCATCACATTTTATACGATACATTTGAAGAGTGTACTCCATCGTGGCTCAGTGCACAATGCATTATTTGACTACACTGATCAAACAGGCCTCTGGTTCTGTTCCTGATCTGTGCTGATTGAGTTGATAAGGTGAGCTGATGGCAGGCAGTTCAGTATTTCCTAGATCAAGGAATCTTTAGCCCTGCTTGAGGTGCATATTATGTGTAAACGTCAGATGGAAACGTGTTTGGGCTTCTTTGTCATAATATGGCACAATATTCTTGGAACTCTCTTGGCTGTTGCAGGGAAAATGGTCAGTTGGTTGAGATACCAGAAAGACTATACCCTAGCCAACACAAATTAGTGTTGGTTCACAAGGGGAAAAAAAAAAAGAAATGGGCATTAACTCTTTCTGAGAATAAGTCATTTAAAAATATTCATCTTATGAGCAGACCAGCTATAGGAAAACAGGTATGTTCCTATGATTTAAACCATATCAAATTCAAATTGCTGCTTGGTCCTCTGACATGCTGAATAGAAACAAGGGAATTTCGACAGGAAATGAGGGAGAATCGCCAATTAAATGGGTGAAACTTAAGTCAATTTTGGGAGAATTCAAAGGAAAAATGGAAAGTAGATTCTTGAAAACCATTGCTAGAGTGGCTTTGATCAGCTATATCTATTTATATTAATTGCTGAGATGGTTTTATTATTTGATATTGGCCAATAACATGAATATGGCACAAGATAGGATGATTATTGATTCTAAAAAAATGATCTTTGATGACAAGTAGTCAAAATTATTATTTTCACTGAGAACTTCACTGGCTGAGCAGCATTTATTGCCTGTCCCTAGTTGCTGTTGAGAAGGTGGCGGTGAACTAGCTTCTTGAACTGGTGCGGTCCATGTGCTGCAGGTAGACTCACGATGCTGTTAAGGAGGGAGTTCCAAGATTTTGATCCAGCAACACTGAAAGAAGGGCAATATATTTCTAAGTCCGGTTGGTGAGTGGCTTGAAGTGGAACGTGCTGCAGGTGATGTTCCCATACCTCTGTCGCATTGTCCTTTTAGATGGCAGTGGTTGTAGGTATGGAAGATGCTCTTTAAGGAGCCCCTGCAGTGCATCTTAAACCTAATACGCACTGCTGCTACTGAACATCAGTAGTGAAAGAAGTGGATGTTTATGGATGTGATGTTATTCCAAGCAGGCTGCTTTATCCTGGATTGTTTCAATCTTCTTGAGTGTTTTTGGAGCTGCACTCAGTCAGGCAAATGGAAAGTATTCCAGCATACTCCTGAGTGGTGCCTTCTGGATGGTTGTCAGGCTTTTGGGCGACAGGGGGTGAATCACCTGCTGCAGTGTTCTTCGCCACATTTTTTATATGGCTAGTTCTGTTCAGTTTCTGGTCAGTGGCAGCCCCAGGCTGTTCATAGTGGGAGATTCAGTGCTGGTGATGCAACTGAATGTCATAGTTAATGCAGCAGTTAGTTCTCTTTTGTTCAAGATGGTCATAGCCAAGAACTTGTGCCAATTGTCAGCCTAACCTGAATATCATTGTTGTCTGGCTGCATTTGAAGGTGGACTCCTTCAGTATCTGAGGAGTCACGAATGGTGTTGAACATAGTATGATCATCAACAAACTTCCTTACCTCTGACCTTGAGATTGAGGGAAGGTCTTTAATGAAACAGCTGAAAATGGTTTGGCAGAGAGATCCTGAGATGACTGAACTCCAGCAAACACAACTATCTTCCTTGATGCCAGATATGACTAACCAACACAGAGTTTTCCCTGAGTCCCACTGACTGAGGTTTCACTGGACTCCTTGGTGTCACATTCAGTGAAATGTAGCTTTGATGTCAAGGGCAGTCATTCTCACTTCTGCAATTCAGCTCTTTTGTCCATGCTTGAACCAAGGCTGGAATGACGTCAGGAGTATTAGTGAATAGGCTATCACTAAGCAACGTCAGGTTATCACAGTTGATGACCCCTTCCATCAGTTTACTGATAATAAAGCAAAGATTGATGCACTGATAATTAGATATGTCCTGCTTTTTGTGTACTACTTTGCCAGGTAGATACCAGTATTGTACCTTTCTGGAACAGCCTTCCAGGGCACATGCAAGTTCTGGAACACAAGCCTTCAGTACTACTGGCAGAATGTTGTCAAGGATGTAGCTTTTGCAGTATTTAATGTTTTCAGCTGTTTCTTGATATATGGGATTGAATCCACTCGAGACATCAGGCTGAAGATTGTTGCAAATACTTCAGCCTCATTTTTTGCAGTGATGTGCTGGGCTCCCTCGTCATTGAGGATGAGGATATTTGTGGATCCCCTGCTCCTCCAGTGCGTTGTTCAATTGTCCTCCACCATTCACAACCAATTGTGGTAGGTCTGCAGAGCTTTGATCTGATAAATTGTGGAATCACTTTGCCATCTCTGTAATTTGCTGTTATGCTATTTGGCATTCAAGTAGTCCTGTTTGGTAGCTTCATCAGGTTGTCATCCCATTTTTAGGTATGCCTAATGCTGCTCTTGGCATGCCCTCTTGTACTCTGCATTGAACCAGGTTTGATCCTCTGACTTGATGGTAATGACAGATTGGGGTGTACACTGGGCCATGATGTTGCGGATTGTATTGGAGTACAGTAATGCTGCTGGTCCCACAAGGCCCCATGATTTTGACCCAGTGATGAAGAAAAACAGTGATAGCATTCCAAGTTAGGATGGTTGATGGGGTACTTATAAGTGGTGGTGTTCCCATGCATCTGCTGACTTTGACCTTCTACGTGGTAGAGGATGCAGGAAAGTGCTGATGAAAGAGCGCTGTTGAGTTGCTGCAGTGCATATTGCAGGTGGAACACACTTATGCCACTGTGTTGGTGGTGCAGAGACTTACTGTTGAATGTGGTGGTTGGGGTTCCAGTCAGGTGGGATGCTTTGTCCTGGATGATGTTGAAGCTGTGCTCATTGAAGCAAGCGGCAAGTATTCACTCACACTCCTGACTTGTGCCTTGTATAAGGTGGACAGGCTTTGGATCAGGCGGCAAGTTTCTGCCTGCAGAATTTCCAGTTTCTGACCTGCTTTTGTCATTGATCAATGGTAACCTCTCGGATATTAATGGCAGAGGACTCAGGAATGGTATGCAGTTGAATGTCAAGGCAACATGATTATATTCTTGGTCAAGACTGTCATTACTTGGCAGGTTTATGGTGCAAATGTTATTTTGCCCATTATGTACCTGAAGAAGATCATATGTAGTAGGTGCAGGCGTTTAAACCCCTCAAGCCTTTTCCAGCATTCAGTAAGATCATGGCTATTCTGTTAAATCCACTTTCCAGCTTGCCCCCACATTAACCTTACCTCCCATACAGATCAAAATAACTCAGCCTTAACTATATTTAATCACCCAAATTAAACTGCTATTTCGGGAAGAGAATCCTAAAGATTAATGGCCCTCGAGAGAGAAAAAATCCTCCTCGTCCCTATTTTAAATGGATTTCCAGAGCCATTCTTTGCTGGTGTATACTGCTCTGCTGTAAAGTCTGCTGGGTCTTTCCTACTGATGAGACAGGATTTGCCAAAGGATGATAATTTCCCAGACACCTGTATTGCCACACTCACTGAGCCATATCTTATACTAATGTCAGCTGCTTCAGATTGCACTTCTGTCTGTAAGAAAGGGGTACTTAGTGAGGCAGCTTCAAAGGAAACAAGGAGGATTCAGGTAGAGGACAGTCTGCATCAGATGGGAAATGTCATGAATTAGAAAGTTGAGGCTACAGACACCGTGAGGCAGGAGTCTGCAGAGAGAACAGACAACCCCAGCCTCAAAAGTTACAATGTCATGTTGATCATTTTAGTATGAATGGTGGAGGATTATTTCAGTTTCAATTTGGTGGTGTTTGCAGCTCCCCCTTTGCACTGCATGCTTGCTCCAAATGTTCCAATTACCACACGCCTTTCTAAAAGCTATTGCATCCCTGCTAATGTAACTGGTGGGAACGTACCCAGTTTATTATCAATTCGTCTGTTGCTACTCTGAGTAGCTGTCGAGAAATATGCAAGAGGACCCCTGGCTGACTGATTTATTTTCCTAGCCTGTAAAATGTTTTGAATATTTATCTCCTGAAAGTGAACAGTTTTTTTTAAAATCTCTGAACGTGGGTTCTGTGCCATTTTTCCTTAATAATCGTTTCTGCTGAGATATTCAAGTGACGCAGGGGTTTGACACACTGCTGTGTCAATGGTAGAATGCAAGCACATTGGTAAGGTTAGATGCCAGGGCAAGTTTCCGAGTTTAGGCAGAGATCGAGAACATGAATCATTCTGGGCGGCTGCTGCTGTTATCTTGGGGATCAAACTTGCTCCTCTTGCTTTCCTGAAATGGGGGAGCGGGGGAGGGGTGTTGACGGGGATGAGGCAGCGGATGATTGTTTCTGACTGAATGCTGGTTGATGTCGATGCCTAATTGTTAAAACTGCCATTCTGGGAAGTCCTCTTTCACTCTTTGCACTTTTCTCCCTCTGTTGATGTTACAGCCTGTCTCCCGCGGTTTGATTACCTTAATGTAGTAACGAGACTTTTCATTTTCTTCAAACAGTGCAGTTTTCGGGCCAGCTTTGTGAGGACGCGCTGCTCGGACGCCCGAGAGACAAGCACAATTTTTGCCTTGAGCTCGGGTCAGGGCAGGTGCGGGGTCGCTGTCATCCGAGTGAGCGGCCCCGGCAGCAGCGAGACGCTGGTCCGCCTGACTGGCCGGAGAGCTCTTCCGCCGGCCAGAGCCGCTGCCCTCCGGCCGCTGCTGGACCCCGGGACCGGGGAGCGCCTGGACACGGCGCTGGTGCTGTGGTTCCCGGGACCTCGCAGTTACACCGGCGAGGATTGCTGCGAGCTCCATGTCCACGGGGGGCCGGCGGTGGTCGGCGGAGTCCTCCGAGCCCTGGGAGACCTGCCCGGGCTGCGGCCGGCGGAGGCAGGCGAGTTCACGAAACGCGCCTTCCTCAACGGGAAGCTGGACCTGACCGAGGTCGAGGGGCTCGGAGACCTCATTCACGCCGAGACCGAAGCCCAGAGGAGGCAGGCTCTGCGGCAGATGTCCGGCGACCTGGGGCACCTGTACCGCGGCTGGAGCGAGAGGTTAACGCGGTGCCTGGCCCATGCAGAGGCTTACATCGATTTCAGCGAAGACGGCAACATCGAGGAGGGAGTCCTCGACAGCGTGGACGGCGATGTGCGAGCTCTGCAGCGGGAGATCGACCGGCACCTCGGCGACAGGCGCCGCGGCGAGAGGCTAAGGAGCGGAGTCCATGTAGCAATTGTCGGGCCGCCGAACGCGGGAAAAAGTAGCCTTCTGAACCGCATCTGCCAGAAACCCGCCGCTATCGTCTCCCCCGCGGCCGGGACCACCCGGGACGTGGTGGAGGCGGCCCTGAATCTCGGAGGCTATCCCGTTCTCCTGTGCGACACCGCGGGACTCCGAGAGACTCCCGACCCCGTGGAGCGGGAGGGCGTGAGGCGCGCCCGGGAAAGGTTTCGCCAGGCGGACGTGGCGCTCTTCGTGCTGGACGCCGCGGAACTGGTCTCGGAGCCGTCCGGCGCGGTGCCGCGTTTGCTCCGAGGCCATCCGAGCGAGGTGGCCGTGCGTGAACCTGACGAGCGTCCAGCTCCAGCCGGGAGCCCGGCGGTGGCGGACTCGATCGTGGTCTGCAACAAGACCGATCTCGTTCAGCCAGAGGAGCTGGAGACGCTGCGCTTGGTTCTGAAAGAACAGGGGCTCGCTCGGGTGTGCCTGCTGTCATGCAAGACCGGCAGCGGCTTTGACGACTTCTTGCGCCTCCTGGGAGAACAAGTCGAAAAAATGTGTGGGAATCCGTTGGCCGGCAGCCCCAGTTTAACTCAGGCCCGTCACCGGCTGCACCTGCAGAACTGCACCCGTGCTCTGACGGAGTATTGCCAGTACCGAGAGTTGGATCTCGTCCTGGCAACGGAGCAGCTGAGAGTAGCCTTAAGACAACTAGGAAAGATCACTGGGAAGATTGGAGCCGAAGAAATCCTGGAAGTCATATTCAGGGATTTCTGCATTGGAAAATGAAACTTCTGGAGAAAGAGCTTTTAAACTCGTCCAGTGTCATTGAGACTTTACATGGGGTGGGGAGCAGCACTCCAACTTTTGGGGACAGACTAAGATGGGGGCTGGATTGCAGCGGGCAAACAACCCTTGCAGAACATCATGAATCACTTCAAATGTTACAGACTCCTCAAGCTAAGTGGCATTGAATAAAAGCCAAGAGAGAATCTATTACTGCAGGAACTATTAATGTATTCACAACCTCCATTGACTTTAGTAGCTCACAGACATTTTAATTGGGATTCACTGATTGAACAGCAGGCATCTATTTTCATTTTTTTAAAAAAAACTTTATTTTACATATAAAGCAATACACATCAAGATGAAACAAAAAAATGACTGTCATGCCATTTAAATATAATTAAATTCAGATGTTAAATCAAGTAGAGTTTAAAAATAATGAGATGGTAAATTGACTTCCTCTGTCACATAAAGACATGAGTAATCAGTTTCTGAATTGTGCAGAGCAGGAAGATTTCAGATTTGATTCACTCTGTGCTGAGTTATATTATCCAAGAGGAGTAGTTGGCACTGCTACAGTTAGCTGTCTGGAGTTAGGAAGAGGAGAAAAGCAAATGGACAGGATTCCCGTTCTTCCCTGTTATCGAGCACTGGAAATCTGAATAAACACCAAAAGCACTGCGGATGCTGCAAGTCAGAAACCTGGAAATCTGAAGGCTGGGAAATGAATACCATGAGCTTGATCACATAGCCAGTTGCACTTGTTTCTGATGGGCACAAGTGGATAATTGAAACAAGAACCAGAGGACGTGTATCTTCTGTAGAGCTGAACCCCAGTTAATGCCTCCAGGGGACGAGAGGGTATGAGTAGAGGAAAGTGGTAAAGGAGAGGTACAGTGTTAAAGCAAAAAAAAGTCTCAAATCAGAATAAGACCTATTTGCTAATACTGACTTATGGAAATAAAACAAGCTGGTGTTTCAAATAAGAATCGATTCCTGACCCATTTTGTAAAATGTTTTAGCAGGAACCAGGGCATCATGAACATATTATCAACAACAGAAATCTGGATCTGCAAATTCTGGTCACATTCAAAAGATCAGTCAATCTTGTGGTTAAAACACAAAGGAATCCTCACTGTGAAGACCAGATGTCAGGATCAGGGAATTAATCATAATGCTGGCAATTTCTTTCAAGTAATGCAATTGTGTGATTCCTAGTGAGTGACATGTCTGGAAAATACAGAAGTATTCTCCAGCTCGCTTGCATCACCTCTAGAAAGACTGAAAGCAGAAAATGGTTTCATAACTGTCGAACATTGGGTTTTTTTTAAATTAGTGGACTTATGGCTCATCACACAGAGATTGTGATTCTATAATGTGAATGTTACATACAGCATGTAGTGCAATGTAAAATAATGAGAATAATACTTGTCATGACATTTCCTGGTGAATGTAAAAAGGATTACCTTGAGGGAAGGGGATTGCTACTGAAGTCTTGTTTAAGCTGGGTGTTAAAATAACCAGAGATAGTAGGAACTGCAGATGCTGGAGAATCCGAGAC